AAAGCCTAAGCCAGCAAGATTGTGGAAGACTTTGACTTGCTTTTCCTCCCCGCTATTTTCTTCTTTTTCCCCCCTTTCCTTTTGAGTAGGTCTTGTCGGCTTTTGCTTTATCACTTTCTTTGCAATTTAGCTAGGAAGATGGTGGAAGAATTTTTTGGACTCGCTTTCTCTCGTTATTGAGCGGTCCCCATATGCCTTTTCTTCTCGTCCTCTTTTCTGGGCCCCGCTGATTGTGTGACGAGGTTTGACTTGGAGGCAGGTATTCGGATCGGAGGGCTGAGGATGAGTCAAATTTCCATCAGGAGCGGGAGAAATTAGAGTGGGCCATCGGCGAGATTAAGGCCCGTATCGAGGCATGCCTAGACGCTAACACGTGTAATGATTAACACTTGTAATAATATTTTTTTGGTGTGCAATGCTGAGATCGTGTCAATGATAAGTCAATTGGTCATATAAAACAAATAGTTAATACTATGAAAAATTATGAACTGATATATTTGTAATAAATTTATTCTAAATTAATATTATGACTATAAAAAAATCTCAAACTGATACACCTGTGATAAATTTACCCCAAAATAATTTTTTGATCACCAAAAACCCAAAATTGATAAATTTGTGACAATTTACCCTCTATTAATTTTCGTTAAATTGGATTAATAATACAAAAAATTACAAACAGGTATACCTGTGACAAACGAAATGTAAAACTCCAAATTGGTACGCCCGACAATTGCCACGTGTAATTTAACTTAGTAATTTTATGATAAAATTCAGCGAAAACTAACTAAGGGTAAATTTGTTATAGGTGTACAAGTTTGGGGGCTTTGGTGGTCAAAAAATTAGTTTTGGGTAAATTTATTACAGGTGTAGCAGTTTGAGATTTTTCGCGGTATTAACCCTAAGATAAAAGCAGTATGATTTTATGGTGTAGTAGAATGACTTGAGGAGCAATTGCTTGGGCATTTCACAAAAAAAAGAGGGTCTTGCGTGCTCTCCTGGTAATTAATCAATCGGGATTAATTTAAATTTGAGTATTCATTGCCTCCTCTCATTAGCTTCTTTTAAAATTTTAATTAAAAATTCGAGTTAAGCGAGTTTGAATTTTAAATTTTGGAATATAATATATCAAGCTGCTCTTGCGGTTAGAGCACAATTAAATAAAGTCACAATCAAGTATTTGACACTTTTATGATTTGTTCTTTTGTTTGGAGGCAATTATAAAATACGACAACAAGATGAACCTAAGTCTAAACAATTTAGCTACTATATTGGCAATCTTGTTACATGATGTAGCAGGAACTTTAATCATCCACACACTCAACATGTAATAAAGACGTATTAATCTACAAATGACTCTTGCTAGTCAACTTTAACCGTTTTCTCAAATTATTAGCACATTTCATCTTAACGTTGGAATCAGCATTTACGTGCTTCTCAAAATTGGGGTAAATACGTAAATGTGATCCAAACCACACATGCTTCTAGACTGTGTAGAAAGAGATGGTCTCTAGCCCTACCAATGGAACCCTTTTAAAGGTAAAGGTGAATGAGGAAAATGTACCAAAAAAATCATAAACCTATTGTAATTGTGCTAAATCAGTCTTAAACCTTTCAATTGTGCCAATTTAGTCTTAAATCTTTTCACTTTTTGCCAATTGAGTCAATCCGATCAATTTTGTCAGGACTTTGCTAACGTGGATGTCGACCATCTTACGTGGCACGGTAAGCACCAACATAGACATTATTTTTTGAATATTTATATATTTTTCTTTTCTTAGGTTTTTTTCTTTTTGTTTTTTTCCTTTTTTCCTTTCATTTTGGCCGGCGAGGACTACCAAGCCCTTGTAGGCGAATGGCGAGGCGGCGACCCTCACCGGTAAAAATGAAAGGAAAAGAAAAAGAAAAAAAGAAAATATTCAATTTTTTTAATTGTAAATATTGTCCATGTTAGCGCAGGCTATGCTCGTAAAACGACTGGCGTCCACATTGACACTTTTCAGAAAAAAAAAAAATTGGCCAAAAGGACTCAATAAGGTTTAGAACTAAATTGTCACGGTTTAAAAGTTTATAATTAAATTGGTAAAAGTGTAATAGATTTATGATTTTTTTTTTTTGTTCTTTTCTTGTGAATGAAATGAAACTTGACTTACTAAAAGAAGATAATAGGCCTGACAAAAAAAGAAAAGAGAGAAGATAATAGGAAATAGAGTCATCCATCATTTGAGTTCGAACCTGACATGCACAACGTGACTCGCATGTTTTAGCTACGTTCTTCTCCCTCCCCTGCTTTTCCTTGGGTTCATCATGATCGATGTCATCATTTTCGTTCTGCAAAAAGCAGATACTGTCATGAGCATCCCACATGAAGGAGAAATTTCCCATCGATCTCAATTTGGTGTCGTGCTCAACCACTGCAATAACCTTATGAACGCAAAGAAAAAGAGGAGCGAATCGCACTAGATCTACATGACAGAAGGTTGGATTCAGGAGACTTGTTAAATATTATGCGGTCAACAAAAAAAACAATTGACCATCAGCACGGAGCCGCATATTTGACCTTTGACATTCAATTGATTTTTGTTGCGCTTCCCCAACTATTGACGTGACGTAAAATAGTTAATATATTATAATCAGCTTATAATTTATTGATTTAAATTTTGAAGTGAATGTGAGTCTAATTACATATGTTGATGGATTCGGATTTGGGCTCTTTCTTAACAATTTCCTTAGTAAAGGGATTAGGGGTATAAAAAATATTCAGACCCGAACCAAACCGAATCGAAATTTTCGGATCTTTTTAGGTTGGTTTCGTTCCGGTTCGAGTAATAAATAATAAAGAAAACGAGTACATAAACATTTTGTCTTCCTCCTAAGGAACGCCCTCCAAGAAAAACTCCTTCAACGTGTCTTTTGCACCTTGAACCGAACCGAACTACATTTTATGGTTTAGGTGCTTTACAGTTCGGGCCGCAAACGCACTTGTAGCAAACAAGTTCGGGTAAGTTAAGTATCCCAGAAATCTGAGCCGTTGACACCCCTAATATCGATCTTCTGCTGCAATCCCCAACAAATAGATTGAACGAATTAAATATCGATACTGGTTTTTTTCTCCATCTCTCTAATTCATGCCAACGCGTCTTTTATTCTTCTATTGCGCTCTACAGGTCTAAAACATAACCATATTAACTTTTAATTCTTACGATTACTTATGCCACAAGCTGGTAATTCACATTTTCCCATCAAGAAAATTCAAGTGTTGCCTTGAATTACATTAAATTTGGACAAGTGTGGTCAATCCTCAACCGTGTTTTTTCCTCACATCAACGGCGGATGACAGAACAGGATGGTTGAAAATGTCTCAACCATGTCATGTGATGTCTCTCTTTTGAAAAGAGGCGACTTACAGCTCGAGAGATACATCCAGCTTGTTCAGAATTGGACTTTTGCCGATGCTTGAGAAGAAAAAGGAATCCATCAAATTGAAAGCTTGCTGAAAGTTGTTCTCTTGTGAGAAATAATTTCTAGTTGTTTACGTCTAAAAGGAAAAAAAATTCAATATGATAAAGTGGAAAACCATTCGATAAAAAAAAAAAGTGGAAAACCAGGTTAATTTTAATTGAATCAATAGCACAAAAACCCAAAACTGGTACACATGTGACAAATTTACCCTTCGTTAGTTTCTGTTAAATTTTATAGTTAAATTGTTAAGTTAGATAATACGTGGCAGTTGACAGGTGTATCAATATGGGGTTTTACCCTCCGTTTGTCTCGGATATACTAGTTTGTGATTTTTCGTTGTATTAATTCAATTTAACGGAGGGTATATTTGTCACAAGTTACCAATTTGGAGTTTTTTATAACCACAAAATTAGTTTGAGGTAAATTTATCACAAGTATACCAATTTAGGATTTTTGGTGATTAAAGAATTAGTTTGGGATAAATTTATCACAAATATATCAGTTTGAGGTCTTTCGTGGTATTAATCCATTTTAATTTTATGAATTCTATTACCTTTATGTTCCAAAGCCACCTTCGGTCAAATGTGAATGTCTAGTTTGTCAAGAGATTCTTGTTCATGGCACCCATTTGAGTCCCATCAATGACTATTCAATTTGACTAACTAGTGGATTATAAATTTTGATCAGTACAACTTTTCTCCTAACCAATTTGAAAAAATCGTCCACTGAGATGCGAGGAAGGGTTTTGAGGACCATTATTATTTTACTAGCAATTTTATCCAATTTAGTGGCAACTCGACGTTTAGCAAAAGAAGAAAAGAAAATAATAGAAAACGTATAACAACACAAAACATAAAATCCGGCAAAATTACGCCAACAGTGCTCATATTCGAATCTGTCCCTCTTTTCTCTTTTTCTTTTTGATTTAGAGTATTTGAATCTCTCTAGAATACATATATTAAGTCAACTTTGAATCTAAGTAAGTAAAAAAAATATATATATATTAAAATCATATCATCAAAATTTTCATGAACTCGGCGTATTAAACAGATTACAGTAATATCCACTACAAAAAAACATAAATTTTGCCACGGAAATTTGCGACGGAGAATTTTTCGTCTCTAATTTGTGACGAAATTTGCGATCGATTTTTTTTTCCGTCGCAAATTAGCGATGAATAATTTTCGTTGCTAATTTGTAACGGAATTTGCCACGAAATAAAAATTTACGACGGATTTTTTTGTCCGTCGCAAATTTGCGACGCAGTCCGTACGCTCTCCCGCCCTCATCCCAGTTTCTCTCTCTCTCTCTCTGCTATTCCTTATAAACCCCCCCTTCGCCAATCACCTCTCCGTCGCTCCATCCTCCCCTCCGCCAGCCATGATGGCCACCCTCACCTCCGTCGCCATACGCCCGTTCTGCGCCCACCAGCCCTCCCTCGCCTCGCCCCAGATCTGGGCGAGGTTGAGCGGCCTCGCCCGTGGCCGCCGCTCGACCTCGCCCATGGCTGCTCGACCTCGCCGTCGCCCAGTGGGCGACGGCGGGGGACTGGTTGATTGCGTGGTGGTCGGGGGCAGGATCGGCGGGCTCTGCATCGCCGCGCGGAGCCCGTTCTTCGGGACCGCGTTCGCGAAGAGCGAGAGCGGGGCGAGGCTCGAATCGGCGTGACTTCTTTCTTGGGTGTTCTTCCCCTTTTTTTTTTCTGGGGAAAAGGAAGAAAATGGAGAGGAGCACGCCGGTGAGGAAGCCTCACACTTCGACTTCAGATCTGCTCACGTGGTCGGAGACTCCGCCTCCCCACGATTCGGTCGCGCCGGGTTCGGCTTCCTCTCGCTCCAATGCTCGCTCTCACCAGGTGCGGCGTTCGCTATCACCTTCTGCCTTTTTTCTTTTTTTTTTATCTTCTTGGGCTTTCCCTTTTTAACGGGTTGTTCTGGGGGGATGATGCTATTAGCCTTCGGATGGGATCAGCAAGGTGGTGTTTGGAGGTCAAGTGACTGCAGAGAAATCTGAGAATTTGAACAAAAGATTAGATCTGCTCTTCTTGGTTTTTTTCCCCTCTCCCTGTTTGTAAATGCAATGTTTCATTTGGCGGAATGGGTCGCCACCGTTTTACCTATTTGTCCGCATTCTCTCCATGTTCTCCAATGCTTTGGATTTTCTTTCTTTCGAAATTGTGGTTGGATTGTGTAATATAGGTTCAATGTGGATGTGCAGTGATCGATCTGCGAGGAATGAGGGCAGAAACTTTGAATCCAACATGATAATCTTTACCACCTTCATTTAAATTACAAAAGAAGGGAAATCTTTTTGGGGGTGGCTGTTGATGGAGTAATCTTGGTCAATTGGGTGGATCTTAGAACTTCAGATGCCTTGGTAGGTCGAGCTTGCTCATCTTCCTTGGCTTTAGAAGTCTGGTTGGCCTCTTGAGCTTGATTCTATTGCAAGCCCTCATGTCTAATTGAGATAGCCCAGTCATTCCCCTTCCATTCAATGGCTCTTCAATTAATAGTAATTAGATGGACAGCGTAAGTTCCTTAGATGTCCAGATTCGAGAAGTAAACATTTCTTTGGCGACTATCATATGGGGCTCCTTCAATGTCTGCTGAACTTCTGCGGTCATGAAAATGCCGATTTGATCATCCCATTGACAATCTACCGAACTCTGATGTAGATACAATTGTAATAGGTGCTTAGCTGATGTGAACTTATTTTTGATGTCTTTTCAATTTGCGTATGTGAAATATGTTATTGACATGTGAAAGCTCTAGTCCATGTAAGAGTAGGTTGTTCTTAGTCCATTCATGGAAAGGAGATGGCATTTTGCTGAGGATTGGTAAGTCACAAATAGTGCATCGTCAACATCCTTCTAAAAAGTGCTGCAATAGAAACAATTGTTTGTTGCTAGATTAGGAAAAGGTTTAATCCATGGATAACATGTACATACAGAAAAGTATGTACATACAGAAAAGTCATTACATATACAATTACAAATACATGCACTCACAAACATGTCCATCTAAAAAGCCAGTTACTTGGCTATCTATCTATCTTTTTTCGTACACATATAGAATGGGGATGAATATTTGGCAGAAATGCACATGCACCCACACAAAGGCGCACAAGCATGCATGTTTGGTTGTGGGCACGCTCTCATACACACGCTCTCATACACGTGACCTTTTTATATCCTCCTTGTCAAGAGAGTTACATAAGCTTTCATAATGCCTTTGCACTTGGACTCGGCTTATTGTGGCTTTTTCCTCGTCTTCTTCTTCATAGAATAGTGCTTTTGTAATCTTCTAGGAAGTCTTGTTCTGCCTACAAGTTGAAAGAAATCACCGGAAGCACCGCGACAGGGCCCCCGATGTGGTCGTCACGGAGGCCAGGGACCGCGTCAAAGAGTTTTATATGTTTGAGATTATAGGTATAGACGGAGGAGCATCAAAGAGTTGCAGAAGATGCTTCACAGATGCAACGAGCAGCTCCGACAATTTAATCATGTAAACAAGAAAGCACTTAATCAGTACATGAACTTCACAGAGCAAAGGAAGTGAGCATCTCACATGGATCGTGTCTTTAGTTTTGTTCAGTATTTATATGATGGAGATTGTCGCTAAAAGCCGGATATTCTTTTTTGATTCATTTCTGTCGTCATTGTTTATTGTGCAAGATTATTTATTATCTCATTATGTGTACTATAAAGAAAAATATTTATGTCATTCTTGTGGAAAATGTAGATGAATGTATTTCATTTTCATATTATTATAATATTTTGATGTTATTAAGTGCTTATTCAATGTTAAATATAAATTTCAGAAATTAATTTTGCTTTTAATTAAGTTTAAAATCAAAAAATAAAATAAATGATTATATCGTACGATCACAAATTATAAAAGTTCGTTACAAAAATAAAATTTCGTCGCTAATTTCGTCCCTAAATGATATTCGTCGCAGGGTTCGTCGTTAAAGAATTAATAAAAAATCGTTGCTAAATTTGTTCATGAATAATGTTCATGGCAAAAGTCAAAATTTTTCGTGACAAATTTGCGACGAATTTTGTCACGAGTAAGTTCGTCGCAAATTACAAACAAAAAAAAATTCGTGCCAAATTAGCGATGAATTTTACGACGGAAAAATAAATCCGTCGCAATTTTTGTAACGGAAAATTTTTGCGACGAATTATTTGCGACGAATTTTGCGACGGATAAAATTCGTGGCTAATTTGCGACGAATTTTGCGACGAATAAAGTTCGTGGCTAATTTGCAACGAATTTTACGATGAATTTTTTTCCGTCGCAAAAATTTGCGACGACCTATTAGCGACGGAATTTTTTCCGTCGCTAATTTCATCGCAAATTCGATTTGCGACAGATTTTGCCAAATTTTTCGTCGCAAAATTCGTCGCTAATCCCTTGTTTTTTTGTAGTGATCATTTAGTAGGGGTTACGTGGTTAAAAGGCATTTCACGATCATGAGTGCCTATTGATGAAGAGTTAACTATTTCAGATAAATTTTCTCATCACAAAAAAGAAATGCAAGATATTCCTTTTAGTAGGAATTTATATGAAACAGATAACATCCGAAACAAATTTCGAAGTACAATTTCCAAGTCAAACTGATTATCGAAAAATATACCGAAAGTAGGAAATCATTCCGCATGTGGGAGCAATGCAGAGGAAGCTAAACCAGAGGATTGTATAGAAGAGGTAGTGAATGTAGACGCTTAGGCGCTGCTGGTCATGGTGTTATGGGAGGAAACAATTGATGCTACAGAGAATGAAGATAGAGGCTCCAGATATGTAGGGACTGGCAACTTCAATGGGAGAATAGGCAGCGGGGCGTTAAAGTTGAGAACGTTTATAGATTCTCTTATGGAAGGACGGGCAGTGTGGTCTGGATGAGCGCACCACAGCCCTACAACCATCAGGCACTCCAATTGCTTTTCAACGAAATCGGTACCGAGTTTCGAGTCTGCTGCATCAAGAAGCCTTCCAGTCCCATAAAGCTCCCAAACCCAATCCACCAGCCGAACTTGGCCTTCATTGGCCCTTGACTCAATAACTTTTCTTCCACATGCTATTTCTATTAGGACGATGCCAAAGCTATAAACATCTGATTCCTTACTCGCCTTGCCCGTGTAAATGCATTCAGGAGCCATATAGCCCATGGTTCCGGCCAACACCGTCGTTTGTAACCCTTTGGCATGGTCAACTAGCCTAGCCAAACCAAAGTCTCCTAATTTAGCATTGAAATCAGAATCGAGCATGATATTACTACACTTTATATCCCGGTGCACGACACATTGTTCCCATTCTTCGTGGAGGTAAAGCAACGCCGAGGCTATGCCTTGCGTGATTTTGAACCGCTTCTCCCAAGGCAAGAAGGTCTGTTCTTTGAATAGATGAGAATCGAGACTACCATTAGACATGAACTCATAGATAAGGAGGAGTTGCTTTTTCTCGTGACACCATCCGATGAGTTGCACTAAGTTTCTGTGCCGGAGCCGGCTTATGGTCTTCACTTCGGTGGCGTACTCCTTCATCCCTTGTCTTGACTCTGGACTAATCTTCTTGATTGCGACATTAGCATTCAAACTAGTCAAGTAACCTTCGTACACTCTCCCAAAGCCCCCTTCCCCAAGCAATCGTTCGATTGTGAAATTATCAGTTGCTGTAACCAAGTCCTTGTAGGAGAATTTCTTGGGCCCCGACACTTGCTCGAATTCTTCTTCGATCGCTGCATCATCTTCTTCTCCACTTGTGTGAGTTCTCTTTCTCTTCGAACGGTGACGAAACCAAATGAAAGCTAGCGCAAGAATGAGCAAAATTAAAGAACCGGAGCCTAAGATAGACCATAGCCATAGCTTGCTCTTTTTAGCATCACCATTTGTTGGAGTCGGAGATGGAATTGGAATATCTGGTTCAGCCACTTGCACAGTATATCTGAATTCCCATGCCTCAATAGTGTGCAACTCGACAGACCAACCCGTGGCAGCCGAGAAACCAAAAGTCACCCACTCCGGCAAATAGTCAATCAAGTTGACTCTGTAATCGATAGTGGAGGAATTTATGTCGGTACCCGTGGCATCGGCGTCTATCATGAGAACACTCAAGTATTGTGTGCTAGAATTGTACGTTATCGTTGCGTTGATCTGCTCACCGCTCATGATTTTATCCCTGAACCAATCGACGCAGTTAAACTTCACGGAATTGAGATCATTCAAGTCTATACCGATATGCGTAGCTTGTGGACAATTCGGGTCCACGACCTTGCCAAAGCTGCTGCTGATGAAAGTGTCAAACTCGACGGCTACAAACGAAGTAGAAGAGTTGGAAGGATCGCGGTTCAGATCTACAAGACCAAGTTGTCTTCCCGACGAGTTGGCCGGGAGTTCATACCCTGCGGGCACAAGAAAGAAGGTCATTCCATCGCCGAAATCTGTGTTTCCTTGAGAATTGATGACGAAGGTGAATTGGGTGGTGAAATCCGCCACGTTCCCCGTCGCCTTATCCCAAAGGCGCATCGGCTGGTAGTACGTGGCCCACCCCACGCCTTGACGGAGGTCCTGGCCTAGATTGGTGTTCGTAAGTTGGATGAAGCCGCTCGAGTTATATATCGCATCGCCTTGGCGTCGAATGAAACTATCGTTGAAAGGCGGGAAGCTGAAGTTCATCCCCTGTGACGATGCCGAAGCCGTTAAGGCAATGGCCAGAGAGAGAACCGAGACTAGTAACAGGGATCGAAGCGCTCTGGTCTTGAAACTCATGATATCTGCTAAGCCGTGAAGTTTCATTCTCGTTGAGGTTTCTACGCTTCCCTTGAAATCTGGGACTGAGCACAGCTCTTTGGTGTCCGTAGCGTGTTCCAATGGACTTTTCTTTCGTGGAAGAAATTGCAAATTCCTTCAACCACCATAGTCCAGACGCGCTTCCACGACGACTAGTCTCTTGACTTGAGAAAAAGAAAAAAAAAGAAAAGAAAAGGAAAACAATTGAAATGATGGTCCGCTGCCGGCATAGACGAGGAAATATTAAAGTGCCGTGCGTCAGTCCCACTCCACGCATTGCTTCGTTACTCTCTCTCTCTGTCTCCTCTCACCGCCCCTTCGTTTTCTTCGTTACTCCAGACGTAGAATAAATGAACTGATTTGACGTGATTTTGCAATTCTTTTTATTAAAATTTTCTTACCCTTTTCTTTTCCGTTTCTTTTCTTTCCCACACCACTATTCATCTCCTTCCTTATGTCTCATCTCCTTCTTCCACTTCATTGCCAAGAAGACATCACTGTTCATCTTCGTTTTTTTATGTGGCCACAGGTCGCGGCCCTCGCCCATACCTGCAATCTCTGTCTCTCCTCTCTAATCGGTTCCATTTCTCCGCAAGCAAAGTAATAAAATCTCGCTCGTCTCACATCGTCGAATCGCAGATAAAATTGCCGCAACAATCTGCAGAGAACAATCCGATTCTTCTGCCAACCCCTCGAATCATGCAGCTTCACTGATACTCCTTCACTTCAATCGTCACGATTCGTACACGTTAGAGAAGCTGAACAGAGAGATGACCCCTTCCCACTTCCTCACTCCTCGGTGACAAGAAACGGTCTCCAAAAACGGAGTTCGAAGAAGCCATAATGAAGCTGACCACCCAAAGAAGAGGTGGCCCCAAGCTCAACAGGTGGCACTATCATCTCCTTTCGCAGGTCGCCCAAACCCAACTAGCCGAAAACCGACCATCACAGTCGAGAAGCCATGCCCGATGAGTTCCTGTGCCCTGTTTCGTGGTCTCTCATGGCCAACCCACATCTGGGCAACGGTCACCGGCCGTCACCGAAATTCCGGTGAAGCCCCACCGATCGTCTCCGGCGATGATGGGGCGGCATAAAAATGGAGCAGTAAGGAAAATGAATAAAAGAAAAAACATCAAAACAACAAAAGTTTGAAAAAAAAGGAACGAAGATCGAGATCATTAACAGTAAAAATAAAAAATTCAAGGTTAATATCACGAAAAACTCTAAATCGGTACATTTACGATCAATTTGCCCCAAATTAATTTTTTTACCATCAGAAACCCAAAATTGATATATATGTGATAAATTTACCATAAATTATTTTTTTGACCATCAAAAACCCCAAATTGGTACATTTGTGACGAATTTACCTTCCGTTAGCTTCCGTCGAATTTTACCGTTAAATGGACGTGGCAAGTCCACGTGGAAATCCATAGGGTAAATACCATGAAAAACCTCAAACTGGTACACCTGTGACAAATTGACTGTATTAGTTTGGGGTTTTTCGTGATATTAGCCCTATGGATTTTCACGTTGACTTGCCACGTCACCATACTACGTCACCATGTGTCATCCACATTAGCAAATTTAACGGTAAAATTTGACGGAGAGTAAATTTATCACATGTGTACCAATTTGGGATTTTTGGTAGTCAAAAAATTATTTTGGAGTAAATTTGTCACAGGTATACTAATTTTAGATTTTTCGTGGTCAAAAAAATAGTTTGGGGTAAATTTATCATAAGTGTATCAGTTTGAATTTTTCATGATATTAACCCAAAAATCAAACAACTTATAGAAGATCGTTCTCTTTATTCTCAAAATGACGTGGTTTTAAGAAATTCTATAAGTTCTTACAAAAATTAGAGAAATATCAGTTTAGGTTTTTGGTAAGACAAAAATTAATTTGAAAAAAATGTATTTTTGAGATGTCAGTTTGGAATTTTTAGTGGTATTAGCATGATCTTAACAATGACGGAATAACAAATGTTTACCGAATTGATTGAATCTGAATGCAATCACGAAATTAACCCTAAAATTTGTTTCGAAATTGCATATAAAAGATATACGAAAAATGATGGTTGTTTTCAGCTATGAGAGAGAGCAATTCAACCCTAAACCATAACTTCTTAGACTTTTCTCCTTTTTTTCACCTAAAAGCTTTTATAGGCGAACATTTGACAACTCAAAGTCGCTATTAATTTCATGATCTTCATAAAATTCACCGTGTACATCGCATCTTTTGTCTCCCAAAGTTCATAAATTATCTCACAGTGTCAATTATTCTCATCCACCCTTATGAAGTATATCGCTCGCATTCCTGAGCCTAGCTAGCCCAAGGCATTCTTCACATTGCCACCAACTCTTCACGTTCATCAAGCATTGAGTAGTTACTAAGATTGTTCAATCATAACCATATGGTATTCATCGATTTCGAGTCTCGAGGCCAAGCATCGAATGCGTCTTAATAGCCAAAATGGCTATATTAGGTGCAAGTAGATGCGGCCAATGCTCGATGTATAGCATTATCATGAAACCGAGCAGATCTAAACGTTCCAACCAAATCAAGTCATGTCAATGATGACAATTAGACGACTATTGTCGAGAAATGTTTGTACTCGCCTCAGGCGTCTCTTTTCTTCATAAAGGAAGAGGTCAACTCGAATCTTTGATCGATGTATATGGATGGAAAACAAATGGGGAGACACTTAACCTGTCTTTTTTCTTTCTTACCTCTCGTGTGAGCCTTCCGCTTTTTTGGCGATTACGATCTAATTAATCTGTTATTCTGTACTAGATTTAGCTCTAATAGATTCCGGTCTTGAGCTATTAGTGCTTTGTCAATTTGCCCGAGGATGAGAAACCGTTTGATACAATATCCCGTAACAACTTCATCACAACTGTAGAATCTTTAAAGTCGCAGCAGCTTCTAATAACTTTTTAGGAAACTACCTCACTCAAATTAGAGATGCTGACCCACCCATGGGTAGCTTAGTTGGTTAGGGCGTACTTAGGATTGTGTGGTTAGGCGCACTGGTCCCAGGTTCGATTCCCCAACTGAGCACTTGTGATTTAAGTGGGGGGCCATGGTGGTGGGTTGCTGTGCTAGTCTCCCCCGAGGAATAGTCGAGGTACGCGCAAGCTGGCCCGGACACCTCGGTTACCAAAAAAAAAAAAAAAATTAGAGATGCTGTAACTTTAAAAGATGCACTACAAAACATAAAAATTGTAACGCTTCAATGCACAATTATAATTTAGCTACAATTATACGAAACAGGCTTGAAGTCATTGTTCGTTCCAATGAAGCTCCAAGGGTTCCAAACTAAATTTCTTTTTCTGCCGGCCTGGATGATCCAAATAATTGGATTTAGTCATATTATGTGTTGCAACTAGTTTTAATCATTAATGGACAAAAGGATTGGTCTAAATTGGAACCAACATTGGATCTTTGGCACGGGTTCTGTTCGTACACAGATCCTGCCAATGTTTTGACTCCTCAAGTCACGAAAAAAAATTTCAGATTGACAGAGTATATACATGAAAGGCCAATCTATCACCTTTCAAATCCACCTGACAAAATATTTCATGTGTACTTATGGTTGGCCGTTTCGTATTGACTTGTTCTGAGTCTAACCTTTCAGGATGAGGAGAAAAATATTTTTCTCTCATTAACAAACTTAGTAATATGTTTTTCTCAAGTCTCTTTGACCAACTTAGCAGTCTATTGTTTCATCATAGTTAAGTAGATTCCGATAATGATCTCATTAAGTATCAGGGCTTATAATCTTGTGTTACTATATAAAACTTCAATTTACATCGATTCAATACACGTTTGTCGTTCTTGACGTGGGTCTATGTACCAACTTTTCCATGTTAGTCCATGGTAGTGCACCTTGGCGCTTACAAATTACATACCATGTAGGCAATGTCTAATACAAGTATTAAGGTATAAAATCTAAAAAGAATTATACTCATAATCTAACTCTACGAGAATATAAATGTAGACATTTTAATTTGATATTGGAATTAGAGGCATCAAGTTTGATTTCTGAAGTCTCATTTACTCAATTTACGGGTTTCCCTTTCATTACACGCAAAGGGACTTCAACAAGTGTCATATTCTCCTTCATCAGTGATTAGAGAAAAATTTTCTCCTCCCGACATTGTATAAGTGGACTCTCTCTGTCTCTCTCTTCATATTATATAGCATTGTGCATGAATTATTAAGATGTGAATGATAATCACAAATCTGTCCCGTGTGTCGAAAATCTTCGTCTCTAATGAAGTTGACCTGACAAAGAAAAAGCAAGACCAAATTTAAAAGGGAAAAAATCACTAAAAATCCCAAACTTTGCCATCTGTGACACATTTACCCCGAACTTTTTTTTGTGACACCAAAAATCCCGAACTTTGCTTTTTGTGACACATTTACTCCAATGTATTTAGTTCATGGGCATTTTCGTCTTTTTGCTTTTTCTTTTTCTTTTTCTATTTTTTCCTTTCCGTGAGGTGCGCCATCGCCGGATCCGGCGAGGGGCCCTCGCCGGCGTCGAGCGAGGCGGCCCTCGCCGGATCCGGCGAGGCGGCCCTCGCCGGCGTCGAGCGAGGTTCGCCTCGCCGGGCGAGTGAGCGGCCCTCGCCCGGCTCGGGCGAGGTCGACCCTCGCCGGCGTCGGGTGAAGGTCGACCTCGCTGAGTCGGGCGAGGGCCGCCCTCGCTCACCCGGGCGAGGCGACCCTCGCCGGCGCCGGCGAGGTCCGCCCTCGCACAGGCGAGCGAGGCGGCCCTCGCCCGATCCGGCGAGGTCGACCCTCGCTGCGTCGAGCGAGGGCGGCCCTCGCCGGATCCGGCGAGGGCCGCCCTCGCCCGGCGTCGGGCGAGGGTCGCCCTCGCTGGGCGAGCGAGGGCGGCCCTCCTTCGACGCCGGCGAGGGCGGCCCTCGCTAGATCGGGCGAGGGCGACCCTCGCTCGACGCCGACGAGGGTCGCCCTCGCCGTCTGGCGAGGGCCGCCTCGCCGGCGTCGGGCGAGGGTCGCCCTCGCCGTCGTCAGCGAGGACCGCCCTCGCTCGCCCAGCGAGGGCGACCC